TGTACTCTTTGTTTTTGACTCTGTTCAGGTCTTCGTGCAGCCCGTCCAGCAGGAAGGACAGCAGCTCCTGACTGTCGTGCTGCTGGTAGCCCAGAAACTGAGACGCAAAGTGGCCCACCTTCGTCTGCACACAAACAGGAAGCAGGGAAACGTACCACCAATCAGACCGAAGCTTCTGCCACACAGACTAAGCTTACTCCCTGCCCCCCCGTCTCTCACCTCCACCCAACACCACTGGATGTAAATGTACAATTTACTTAAGTAAATAAGAAGAAGGAAATTCAAGAAGTATTTCTACGTTTGTAGCTTTCTGCTCTTCCTTCAGTACATTTGGGATGTTAACCTTTCATTTTTCAAGTTTTAGTTTAGTTGCAGAAACATCAGCCGAATAATAATTGATGTGCTCTGTGAAACACTGTGAGAGTAGCAGAGAAGTTTTGGGACATGAAAATAAAGCATCTGAGTGGCCTGAAGGCTTCACTGAATTTCTGCATTTACTTTTTGAGTTTTTCTGTTTTGCATTGATAGTTTAGTTTATTTGGATTTCATGACATTTCCTTCAATTGGGAACAAAATAGAGAGAAAAGTTTTCTAATAAATCTCTAAGTTCACGTTTCCTCCTGTTGCTTGTCCTGCTGTGACAGGTGGGATTAATAAAGTCTGTGTTTATATCTGTATTAGTTTCCTGTGTAACTGTAATCACACTTAAAAATGTTTTCAGGTCAGTTTGTGTCATTTCTGTCGTGCCGAGTCACAAACTCCGGCTCTTCTGGACGACCCGCCACGCGTCGCCGCCTCAGCTTTAGGGTGTGTCTCGACTCTACGGGTGAAACACACCTGAGTGTAACGGGACACCTGTCAGGGTAACGTGCGGCTACCTTGAAGACGCGCGGCACCACAGAGTAATGCCTCCCTGACCACATCTGCTTGATGACGTCGGCGTAGGCCTCGGCGATCTCTCCCTTCATTCCCAGAGGGTTGGTGAAGTTCAGCTCATCCACATAAGAGTTCTGCAGGAAGTACTCCGTCAGGGGCGGAGTGTTACTCAGACACTGCAGAGACATGAGGAGACGAGGAGTTACTACACATCTGTTAGTGATGGGCAGCCAATCAGAACAGAGTTAGCTTAAGGGGGGAGGAGCTGAAACAGTTGCTTAAGCCCGAGGATAAACAGAGGAAAACCGTTTGAACTGCGAGTTCTGCAAAGATACTTTAATCCGGGACAAAACTCCACAGAGATGGACGACTGTTTGCTGCTGATGGCGCCGGGTCAGAGCACGCTGCAGTGACGTCATCTAATTAAAACGTTAAAAAGTGTTCTCGTGCATGAAGTGATGTTTTCAGTGAATATTAACCTGAAGCTCAGCTCCAAGTGCCTTTGCAGAAATCCAAGGAGCAACACTGACACCACACAGGTGTTAATTATGCACCGAGCAGGTTTCAGGACTCGCTGTAAAACTCAAACTGCTAAAATCCAGTTAGAGAACTTCAAAGATGCACAAATGTCCTCGAGTTCTGATGAACCAGGGATCCCTTTAGATCTACTGATTGCTAAAAAAGTGACATTTGGACGCTGATCTGAGCTCCACAAAGCTCGGCGCTGCGTCAGAGCAACAGAATTACAGAGCGAGAGGGATCAGACACGGAGGAAGACGCTGCAGCGTTTCACCTCTGCTCTGCCAGGAAATGCAGAAAACCTTTATGTGACTGTTTTACAAAACATACAGTCTGTGCCATATTTACACAGTTACATATGAGGTTCACACCCTGCACATGTTCAACAGTACCTGAACACTCAGCTGCAGCTCACACGTGTCGGCGTTTGAGCTGCAGCTGAGTGACGAGTGAAAGAGAAGCAAACGTCTCTCGCTGAAGGTGCCAAAATGAAAACAAGCTTCAGTCTAACAAGAAACACCAAACATACGTTTATTGTTATTTTCTCATGAGAAAATAACAATAAATGACAATGAAGTCTTCTAATCTGGTTCGCTAGTCGAGCGGGTCAAAGCACAAACGACAAACCACAAGTTGGAAGAAGAAGAAAAGTGTCTAATGTCCAATTACAAACTAAACTAGTTCAAATCATTCTATTTACACAGCGTCAAATCACAACAACAGTCGGCTCATACTGTGAGGTCGACCCTGCAATAACACATACAGAGAAAAACCCAACAATCATGTGACCCCCTATGAGCACTTTGGCGACAGAGGGAAGGAAAAACTCCCTTTTAACAGGAAGAAACCTGCAGCCTCTGCCACGACCAACTAATCACTGCATACTTAATAAAAACAACAACAACAGAACAAGTCAGGACGCCGTATAAAATCACAGAAACACATATTTGATTACAGCAGAAGATAAAAACCAAAGGTTTGTAAATCACAGCGTCGTCACAGCAACAGCGTCAGCGCTGCGTTTGCATTTATACAAATGGTGCTAATGGTCTGGACTGCACTTCCTGACTGACACTCGCAGGTATCAGGTATTTGTGTCAGTGGTCCCGGCTGGAGTCCAACCCAGGCCCCGCCCTGATGGATGTCACCTGCTCAGCCATGTGACATCTCTCTCTGACACATGATCCATGTGTCTGGTGTAGCAACCAAAGTAAAAATAAAATCCGTTTAAACCTGTAACGCTGAGTTCATGAAGCAGGTGTTGCCCAGGTTGGTGAGGCCGCAGACGCCCGGCTGCCCTCTGTACGAGTCCTGCTCCTCCACAGAGTTCCTCCTGCAACCGAGAACAGAGTCAGCAGCGTTTACAACACCTGAGCAGCGTTACGGTGACAGAAACGCCGTTTTGCTCTTGAACAGGAAACAAAAACAAAGGGTCAGCTGACCAAATATGTGGGAAAGTCAGCTGAAACATGCTCGGAGCAGCTGAATCCATTAAAGAGCACAGCTGTCCTGATATTTCATCATTCAGATCAACAGTCGAGTCAATGAAGGAAGCATTTTAACAGTTTTTGTGACGTCTGGTGTGAGAGAGCGACAGACAAACATCACGATGGTGATGGTATCACGCAACTTCTCCAAACAGGAAGAGGCGAAATCAAAGATGAGGAAATGACAAATAAAAAAAGGAACAAAAAAACTAAAACTAAGCAGGTGAAGAAAAGCAGAGACGACGACAGCGACGAGAGAGGCGAGTGCTCTTACATGATCTGAGGCCTGGAGCTCGGCCAGGTGCCGTCTGCATTCCTCGTCTCCATGATCACCGTCTGACACACACA